GCGTCCGTCCGAACGGAAGCTGCCGCGCAGCTTCGCATGACGTCCGGGGTCTCCATGGGAAAGACAGGGGTCGGGGTCCACCGGGGATACGGCCAGCCTTCGCGGGCGGCGTCCGGTTAGCCGGCCCTCAGCGCGGCTGCCGCACACCCGGGCCTGGGGCCAGCCGCTGGGCCTTGTGCCGGCCCCCTATGGCACCGCACGCATCCACCCCGCCCTCCGCAGCCTCGGCGTCTCGCCTGTCCTACGTGGAGTTTGACCTGACAGACCCCGAGTCCCTCCGCCCCGCCATCGGCAACGCCGGCAAGGCGAGCCCCCATAACGCGGCGCCGCCGGGGCGCATGCACACCCCTGCCTCGGGCCACTTTTTGCTCTCCACGCTCCCATCTGCTTGCCCGTGTGGACCTCGGCATGCGACCCTGCAGCGTGCGACGAGGGCCCGACGAGGCGTGTCTGTGTCGCGTCCCGAGGTGTCGCTGAAAGCGCGGCCGTGTACATATGCGCACGCAGGTGGTATGCACCGTCGGCGCCAGCGAGGGGCTGGAGCCTTCGGCCCCGAAGCGCATCGACGGCGAGGGCACCATCGCGCTCGTCGAGGCCGCGGCGGCCGCGGGCGTGCAGCAGTTCCTGCTGGTCTCGTCCATCGGCACCGGCAAGGTGCGCACGCGTTCGAATCGTCCGAACCGACAGCTCAGATCGCAAATCCTCAAGACGCTCCTCAACCAGAGCGGCGGGGACTCCGCTCAGCGGTCGGCTGCAGGTGCATGCCGGCACGCCCAGCGCGCGCTCTTGGCGCGTCCGACGCGGCCCGGCCATTCACATAGAACCGTTCCCATGGGTCCTTTCCGCAGCTCGGCTTCCCGGCCGGCGTCCTGAACCTGTTCTGGGGCGTGTTGACCTGGAAGCGCAAGGCGGAGGAGGCCCTGGAGCGCAGCGGCATGAGCTACACCATCGTGCGGCCCGGTGCGCAGCGCTTGGCGCCGCCGGCCGCGCAGTCTTGTCGGCGCCGGCCGGGCGGCCCGGGGGCCGCGCCGGAGGTGGCGGCTGCGGCACACGTGCGCGGGTGCGCGTACGCAGCGGTGCGCCCAAAATACTGGCAGCTGACTGGGAGAAGCGCGGCCTGATCAGCATCGAGGCGCTGACTCGCGCGCGGGCCCCACCACTCCATGCAGGCGGCATGGAGCGTCCGACAGACACGTACAAGCGCACGCACGGCCTGGTGCTCAAGCCGCGCGACACCACTTTTGGGGGCCAAGTCAGCCGCCTGCAGGTGCGGCCAGGCGGTGCGGTGCCGGCAGGGCTCTCGCTTTCTCTGCAATAGGGAGGGATAGGGGCGGGGAGCGTGTCACTGCACGGGCCGCGGCCAGGCCGGCAAGGGAAGCCCACCGGGACCCAGGGAGCCATTGGCCCCAGTCCAGACGTTCGTGGCGCGCGGCCCTGCGGCGGCGTCTGCTTAAGACCTCCAGGCGTCAGCCTGGCAATCTGGACGGCTCCGCCCTTCAGCCGACGCCGCACGCAGTTGCCTGGGATCACTTGCGGTCGATCTTCAACTTCATCATCCTCCTCCCGCCGAACTTCACCGCGGCGCCAGGTGGCGGAGCTGGTGGCGGCGGCCCTGGCCACCCCGGGCATCGCCGAAAACAAGTGCCTCGAGGTCGTGGCCGAGGAGGGCGTGGTCGTGACTGATCTGGAGGAGCTCCTCGAGTCCATACCCTCGGAGATCACGAAGGTCGGCGCGACCTGGCGCGCGCGTGCATACGAGCAAATTGCCGGCGATCAGGGGCGGCGGTCGAGGGCCGCGGGGCTCTTTCAGCCATCTGAATGCATCGTCATCGGCTGCAGGGGTTGAAGCGCCCGGCCGGCCGGCCCTGTCGCCGCCGTATTGCTTCACTTGTGTTGCTTTTCTCAATCGTTCGGACGCGCTGCTGCTCATCGCACGTGCTGCCCAAAACCGCAGGAGGCCCAGGAGGAGGCGCAGGAGGCGGTGGCCGCCGCGCGCGGCGAGTTGGAGGAGGCACTCGATGCCGTCGAGTCCGCGTCTGAGGCGCTGGAGTCCGCCGCCGCGCGGGCCGCCGCCGCCGAGGCCGCGCTTGCTGAGGCGCGCGGCGACGAGAAGGAGGCGCGGGCCGAGGCCGCGGCGGTGCTCAAGGAGGGCAAGGGGGCGCAGCAGGCGCTGGCGGCGGCTGAGGGGAAGCTGGAGAAGGCGGTGGGTGGCTCTTGGGATTCCAGTTGCGACGGCGACCTGTCCAGCAGGCGTGCTATGTGTCATATTGGATGCAGTGCTTCCAACATTGGATTGGGGGAGGACAGAGCCGATTATTCAGAGGCCATAGCCAGGGACCCAGGGGGATGCGCCCCTTCACTTGACAGCCCTGCGCAGACGCACCCGCAGCCTCCGGTTCCCTGCCCACAGCCGCAGCCGCAGGGGGGCCCTGATGACGGCGCATTCCCGCCCAACCACGCCC